ACTTGTTCTAATTTGGAAATACAAGTGAAATACATCAAATAGATACTCTTTCAAATGTATAATACTCATGCCGACATGTATGTAAATACGTATTTCAATTAATTGCATTTTAAACCATGTATTTATGAAAATTGAATTTACGGCAAGAGAATTGAAATTAGAGACTAACATTAGTGTTTTCAAACAAAGTGAATGTAAAATGTCTTGTAAATGATATATCTTTGAAGCACTTTTAGACACTAATCACCTGCCGGGTAAATTTGGCAAAGTATCATAGGAAAATGACCCGCTATCAGAAATCGAACTCTTCGCTTGGGGGACCTCGTCCTCAGAAGGGTCTTCCAATCATCAAAGCCAACCGGGTCCGAAGTGTTTGGACCGAACTAGGAGGGTCCTTACCGCATCCGCAGGGAATCTCGACCTGGCACTTTCGAAATCGAAGACATGGCAGGGAAAGTACATCTCATCAATGGAACATCGAACACTTGAGAAAATACTATCAGTGATGAGCTTTTGTTCCCGTCCGATCTCAATGTTGTCTAATAAGTATATGTCTTGATCCGATCTCGTTTGTAATTTCCCTAGCTTACTGAGTGCTGAAAATGCTTTGGTAATGGATAATGTAACTTAAGTATTGATACTTCAGTTCTTTATCACATCGGTTAGTAAATTGTAACCTCAGTCTTTCAATATATTTACTTAAGTGATTCGATCTTCTAATTATTGTTAAGAGGCGCTTGATGATTACTTAAGTGATCCAATCTTCTGATTATCGTTAAGAGGCGCTTAATCTTAAGTGATTGTCATTCATATATGTGTAAACAGATCAACATGATAAGAAAACAGAAGCAACAACACTTGGTAAAAATTTCATTTCATTCACTTGAAACTAAGTTACAAGAGAGGCCGAAGCGATTACAAAATAAGCCCTATTCTACAGAAGGCCCTTCCCCGCCAGCCTCTGCTTTGCCCGCCTCCGGGGCCCCTGGAGCGTCCTCGGCAAGCCTATCAGGCCGGCTTCCAGTAGGTCCTCCGAACTCTGTCTCTAAAGAGGAGATGTCCAAAGTGGGGTGGACCCCTTCAGCCGACTCAACAAGCCTTGGGCACTCCAGGAGACCCAAAAATTTGCAAAGTCGTCGTACGGGGGATGTTCCTCGAAGTGGTTAATGAAATTTTGAACAGCCACTTCCCCTGCCGACTTCAGTTCCTCCTTCAAGGAGGCAATTTCCTCAGATTGGGCCTTCGCCCTCTGCCTCAGCTCCGCCCTTTCTTTGTTGGAGGCCTCCAGAGCCTCGTGGCGAGCCGGTGGTGCTCATTGGCGTGATCCACTCTTCGGGTCATAGTAGCTACCTAACACTTCACCTTATAGAGCTCCTTTTTTAGCCACTCTGTGTCTCCTTTAGCAGCCGCTAGCTGGGCCTCAGCCTCCCTTCTCCCTTTCTCCTCCTCCGCGACCTTGGCCCGGGCCTCCCTCACCGTATCCCCATATTGCATCGCCTCCTCGAGGCGTTTGGCAAGGTCCTCCCTCTTGGCATTGAGGTTTTTCACCAAGCCTTCGAGCTGGATGCTGGTACTCAGAGCTCGGGCCATGCAGGCACTATTGGCCGCTACTAAGTCCTCGGCTATGCAAGAGGCGGTATGGTCCCTCCATTCTTCGATCCAATACTTATTGTGGACCACCGTCACTGCAGCCGTTTCAGGGGAAGAGCCTCCAGTACTTCCTTTACTGGCTCCTCGAAGTTTGTGCCCAAGAAGTCCACCTCCTTTGAGGGACGAGCTCTTTTCCTCTTAGGCTACCCCGACACCTCGGCAAGAGGGACAGCAGCAACTGGCACTGTGGCCGGGGAGGAGAAGCCTCTGATGGCGCGGGTGTTTTCTCCGGAATGGCCACCCTGGTAGGAATTGTAGTTTGCCTTAGAACGGGGGGTGGCCTTACCACCGTTGGCCGCTTCGAAGGGGCAGTAGGCTTTTTAGCCTTCAGAAGCAGATTAGTTTCAGGATCCTTAGGCACTTTCTCCTTCGTCGGAGGTGGAAGCCTCTTGCTGGCGTCTACTAAGTCCTCCATTTGCTTCTTATAGGCGGAGAAGGAGGTCTTCAAGGCCCTCACTTCAGCCATCATCTTTTGTATTATCTTGAAGCTGCGCCGGAGAGGCATCTTCTTATTGAAGTTATCTGCAAGAAACAAGTAAATTAGTACAAGTGTGAACGACTCGAAAGTACTGAAAGGTATTCGCTTCGAGATATTACCTTGTGAGGCCATCTGATCGTGCGTCACAAAATGAAAGTTCTTTCTGATTAGCCAATGGAACGACCTCTTCTTTGGAGGCAGCTGATATATGACACAGATGATCTCTAAGTCATTAGAGGATAGCTCGCATCGAGGAAGAGTGTCTTCAAAAAATGGAAACGAATCTTAGTTATGATCCGAACCGAAGAGAATAAACAAGAAATACAACTACAATACTCGCTAACTAACGAGTACTTTGTAGGGACTGTAAGAGATGCCAAGCGGTTCCCCTCCATCGTGTCCTATCTCCTGGCAGCCCAGTACTACGAGCTCTTCCACTCCTTGATGGAGCTCGACAGATCAAGCACGAATGGAGTGTGGGAACCCCAAGAGGTCAGGTAATACCAGCCCCTAGTCTTATCCCCACGACTGTTACTTTGGGAATGTAGAGGGTCTGAAAAACAGAGAAGGGCATCTCCACCCCAAGTGATGCCTCTTTCCATAACATCAAGAGCCCACCATTTAGCTTCAGGAGTTCGGGTTCAATTTGGTCGGTGCTAAGCCATAAGACTTAAGCACCATCCGGAAAAAAGGGTGAATTGGAAGCCTAAGACTGGCCCTAAGGATCGCCTCGCTTATCGCCATGCACCCTGGCCTAGGATAGCAGGCCCTCTCGTCAGGCTCGGGTAGGATCAGGTCTATACTATCTGGTATCCTATATTCAGTCCTAAATCTTTCTAGGTCGGCCCCCTTTAGCTTGGAGGGATAATTCGATGACCACAATGCACAGAGGTATCTGCTGGGCTATCCGGCCTCTTCCAAATGTTCTTCCTCCCAAGTATCGCTTCGACTATTTCGGAGGAGGTCGCCACAATGGGCTCATCCATCCGCACTAACTCCAGCCCCCTTCCCGAACTAGACTACTCTCAGAAGCCATTTTCAGAAAGGAAATGTCTCTAATATATACTGAAACTTATGAGTTTGAGTGTTTCCCAGCTGAAAATGGTCAAAAAGCAGTGTGTGGTCGCCGAAAAATCGAATTTCTCGTTGGAAATGCTTGAAGAACACCGAAAATCACAAAGAAGTTTGAGAGCAATAGGATTTTCTGTTTTCGTAAGAGTGAAAAACTCCAAAAAATGCTCAAATCCGCCTTTTATAAAGTGCTCCAACTAATCTCCACCGTTGAATTCAAATGCAATCAATCTAGGTCGTCCGTCGCATCTTCAATCTAGGCCGTTGAAATGAAATGCCAAATTTGATCTACGCCTAAGATTTTGTTATGACCCTCACGCTCGCATATAACGCGTCACCTCAGTCACCACCAGCCATCAACAATAAGTAGTCGCAACCGCCTTTTAGGGGAATGGGCACAGCACCCAACTGTCACCTTGGAAATACGCAACAACTGTCAAATCATTTAACATCAGATACGCCCGCCTTGGATCGAGCTCCTCACTCAACTCTACAAAGCTTAAACGCACCTGACGCGGAGTCCTATGTGGGTCATCGCTTCAATCACTGTGTTCCTTCCTAAATTTTACAAAGTTTTAGCAATCTCCTAACGCGTCATCCCCTGTGGGTCAGCGCACCGGTGGCAGATGAGCTCCTCACTTAACTTCACAAAGCTTAGACGCACCTGACGCGGAGTTCTCTGTGGGTTATCGCCTTGGTCACTGCGTTCCCTCCTAAGTTTTACAAAGTTCTAGCCATCTCCCAACGCGTCGTCCCCTGTGGGTCAGTGCACCGGTGGCATATGAGCTCCTTACTTAACTTGCAAAGCTTAAACGCACTTGACGCGGAGTCCCCTGTGGATCATCGCCTCGGTCACTGCGTTCCCTCCTAAGTTTTACAAAGTTTTAGCCATCTCCCAACGCGCCGTCTCCTGTTGGTCAGTGCACTGGTGGCAGATGAGCTACTCACTCAACTTTACAAAGTTTAGACGCACCTGACATGGTGTCCCCTATGGGTTCTCACCTCGGTCGCTGCATTGACCGTCTCCCTACGCATTATCCAGTTCGGCAGCACCTCGATTTCAAGTAAATTTTTACCTCACGCAGCGGCAAAGCTTTAATGCATCTCCCTAGGATTAACGCTTTGATGAACACAGAAAATCGACCCTCAAGTTCTCACAAATCACGGTCCCCATCCTGAGGAGTACATATCCGATCGGGAAGACAAGTCCACCCATGATATAAATATTCATACGTGAACTTGGGGGACTACTGTTACGCCCCTATCTGAACCACTTCGAAAAGTCCACCATCATATCATGCGAGGTGTGGAACACTCATCCGAAGTGGTTCCAAAGTGATTTCACCAATGGTGACTGTTACGCTCCTATCTTACGCTCTTATCTGAACCATTTCGAAAAGTCCACCACCACATCATGCGAGGTGTGGAACACTCATCTGAAGCGGTTTCGAAGTGACTTCACCAATGGTGACGATCTGCTATCACACTACAAGGCATAGGTAATCCTGCGGGATTGACCGAAGTGCCCTCGCCCCTGAATCCGAGGCGAAATGCACAACCGATGACTTTTTACATTTCATTTTTCTCTTTTATTTTTAACCACACAATCTTCTATAAAATAATATTATACGTAAATCGAAAATTTGTATTTCTTTTTCAACCACTCATTTTTCAAAAAAATACTATTCCATCAATTTTCTTCTACACAAAAATGGGGGCCAAACAGGGTATAAATTCACAATGGAAAGGATTTTCAAATTTCTTCATATGAGTAAGTGTGTGTAAAGGGCAAAGATGTAAATGGAGTAGACGGACGCCAAACTCAATTAACTGAAGGGCGGTGGACGCTGGTTCTTCAAATTCACTCACGCCGGCGAGAAAAGGATATACAAAACGATGCCTGAGAATACCAGAGATAACATAATAGAGAGAGATGCGGAGAAGAGATGATGCAAGGACTCAATCACCACCACCATCAACAGCTCGCGGCGCTTCTCGCGGCGGCGCTCCCTAAGGATGACTCTTCAAAATCAACTTCAACTTTGTCACCTTCCCCCACCACATCCGCCACCTCCCCCGCCGCACAGTCGTCTGAGGAAGAAGAATCTTCTCGACTCACCGCCATCACTTCTCTTCACCGTGCCATTCTATACCCTCCTAACTCGCTTCTGGTCGCCCACTCCGCCTCTTTTCTCGTTCAAGGCTTCTCTCAACTCCTCTCTGACAAGTACTTTTACACTATCTCTCACTCTGTTTATATATGTATCTTTAGCTGTATATGTATGAATTCATGCTCGTGACACTAAACTTTCTGATCAATAAAGGAACACGATAATTTGTATTTTTTTTCTCTACTAATAAAACAATATAATTCAAGAGATTTTAGCCTGAAATGGCTAATTTAAAATCAAAATGGTTTATTTGATAGTTTCAATGTAATTAGCTTCAATGGATTCTGTAATGTGAATAGGTTTCTAATCTCATAGGATTTTTAGATTAAAGTCTACCCAGTTTTATGCAGTTAATGGTATAGTTGGGGTGACCCCTTTTTCTTTTTTAACTTAAACCTGTCATAGATCATATTCAGTGCGGCAGGCTGCAACCACAGCATATGGGGCTTTGTGTTCTGTATTGTGTTCGGTTCCTGTAGCCTCAAATGGAAGGCAGAATCATGTTATTCTCAACAGTTTCATTGATCGATTCATTGGTTGGGCATTGTCTTCCCTTAGCAATATAAGTGATGGAACTGCAGAACTAGCATTGGATGGCCTTCATGAGTTTCTTAGTGTTGGTGACGTTGGAATGCTTGAAAGATATGCATTGCCAATTCTCAAAGCTTGCCAAGAACTTCTTGAGGATGAGAGAACCTCCATGAGTTTACTGAACAGGCTTCTTGGTGTGCTGACACTGATTTCATTGAAGTTTTTCAGATGCTTCCAGCCGCATTTTGTGGACATTGTTGATTTGCTTCTGGGGTGGGCAATGGTACCAGATATTAGAGAATCTGATAGGCGCGTCATTATAGATAGTTTCTTGCAATTTCAGAAACACTGGGTGAATAATATGCAATTTTCTTTGGGGCTGCTGTCAAAATTTTTGGGTGACTTGGATGTACTGCTTGTGGATGTGAGCCCTGGTACTCCACAACAGTTTAAAAGATTACTGGCATTGCTGTCTTGTTTTTGTACAGTTTTGCAGTCCGTGGCTTCTGGTTTGCTAGAAATAAATTTGCTTGAACAAATAATTGAACCCCTTTCCAAGATGGTACCTGTTTTGCTAGGATGCCTGTCTATGGTTGGGAAGAAATTTGGTTGGTCAAAATGGATAGATGATTCTTGGAGATGCTTGACTTTGTTGGCAGAGATTTTAAGTGATGGATTTTCTACCTTTTACCCTAATGCAGTTGATCTGTTGTTCCAAAGCTTGCAAATGGAAGTTGCAAACCAACTACAGGGGACAAAGAATATTAATTCCTTCCTGGTTCATGGTGTTCTCAAAACTAACCTTCAAATGCTATCACTGCAAAAGCTTGGCCTTCTACCATCATCAGTACAAAAAGTATTGCGATTTGATGGGCCCGTATCTCAGCTGCGTCTGCACCCAAATCACTTAGTGACTGGAAGTGCTGCTGCTACGTATATCTTTTTACTTCAACATGAAAAAATGGATGTAGTTGAAAATGCAATTGATTCCTTAATTGAAGAGCTGCAGTTATTGAAGCGAATGCTTGGAAAAAAATTAGAGGATGAGCTTGATACATTTATAACTCCTGAATCTTATTCAAAAAGTGAGTTGGTTGCGATGGTCAAATTTGATTTGAAAGTACTGTTAAGCTGTATTGCTTTGGGTGGAGGTGGTAGGTTAATTGGAAGAGCAAAAATTGACACTCTTTATGTTTGTAGGGCAGAAAAATTAGCAACTTTTATTATTGAAATGTTGGATCCATTTCACCTACCCATCAAAAGTTTTGTAGATTTGCAAGTTAATGTTTTAAAAACATTGGAAACACTTACCATGGTTGAGTTTCTGAGCAAGCGCTCCATAAAGGAACAGGATAGTGAGAGAGGTTCCCTGCAGGTAGCATCCCAAAAACATGCAGAGGGTGAAAATGAGGGAGATGTACTTGCAGCGGTTGTTTTTGGACATTTGAGGAGGTACACTTCTCTACTTGTCAAAGCTCTCGACATTTCTTCTCCTCTGGGAGTCAAAATAGCAGCCCTAGAATGGATAAATAAATTCTGTGAAAATGTTATTAACACATATAAAAATATAAGTACATCGTTTTACCCTTGTCAAGCATTTGGATGCATCAAAATCATCCAGGATTTGTTGTACTCGACTTTGGCTGCTGCATCAGATAGGGAACCAAGAGTGAGGTCTCATGTGGCATCAGTTCTTGATATGCTTCTGCAAGCAAAAGTTATCCATCCAATGCATTTTTCCATTATTGCAGAAACGATCCTCGAAAAGCTCGGGGATCCGGATAATAACATAAAGAATGTGTATCTGAAGTTGCTTTCACATGTGCTGCCTATTACAACATACACATGTGGTCTTTGTGATTATGGAGCAGCAATGACACCTGGGCTGCAAATTCTTACATTTGCCGACAGGTCTAATTTGCACTGGAAGCAAGTTTTTGCCCTAAAGCAATTGCCTCAGCAACTTCACTCTCAGCAACTTGTTTCCATATTGAGTTATATTTCACAGAGATGGAAAGCACCTCTTTCTTCTTGGATCCAGCGGCTCATTCATACTTGCCGGAGCAAAAGGGACCTTGCATTTACTTGGTATGAGGAAACAAAAAATGCCGATGCAATTGTTTTATGGTTGGACGCTGGAGTGGAGGAAGATACTCTTGAAAGGATTTGCTCAGTTAATATCGTTGCTGGTGCATGGTGGGCTATACATGAAGCAGCTAGGTTTTGTATTAATACACGACTTCGGACTAACCTTGGTGGGCCAACACAAACTTTTGCTGCACTGGAGCGCATGCTTGTTGACATTGCTCATGTGTTACAGTTGAATGAAGACCAAAATGATGGAAATTTAAATGTCATAGGTTCTTATGCTCACTTATTGCCAATGAGATTATTACTGGAATTTGTCGAGGCCCTGAAGAAAAATGTGTATAATGCATATGAAGGATCAACTGTATTACAGTGTGCTTCCCGGCAAAGCTCTTTATTTTTTCGGGCAAATAAAAGAGTATGTGAAGAGTGGTTTTCTCGAATATGTGACCCAATGATGAATGCTGGATTGGCACTTCAGTCTCATGATGCTACGATTCATTACTGCACCTCACGCCTGCAGGATCTCAGGAACCTTGTGGCTTCAGCACTGACGGAGAAGTCAAGAGTCCATCCGACAGAAAATCTCCATAACATCAGAGGAAGATATGCTGGAGATATATTGAGGGTCTTGCAACACATGGCTTTGGCTTTGTGTAAGAATTATGAACCAGAGGCATTAGTTGGTTTAGAGAAATGGGCAACCATGGCCTTCTCTCCCTTGTTTACAGAGGAAAACCCAAGTCCAAGTGATGGCAAGAACTCAGGATTTTTTGCCTGGATTTCTGGGCTTGTATATCAGGCAAGAGGCCAGCACGAGAAAGCTGCTGCTCACTTTATTCATTTGTTACAGACTGAAGAATCACTTACGTCTATGGGTTCTGATGGCGTCCAGTTTGCCATTGCTCGTATTATCGAGAATTATACAGCTGTTTCTGATTGGAAGTCTTTGGAATCCTGGCTATTAGAGTTGCAAATAATTCGTGCAAAGCACGCTGGAAAGAGTTACACCGGTGCTCTTACCACTGCTGGGAATGAAATAAATTCAATTCAAGCCTTGGCTCGCTTTGATGAGGGTGAGTACCAGGCCGCATGGGCATGCCTCGATTTGACTCCTAAAAGTAGCAATGAACCCACACTTGATCCGAAGCTGGCATTGCAGAGGAGTGAGCAAATGCTTTTGCAGGCCTTGCTTCTTCAAAAGGAGGGAAAGGTGGACAAGATGCCCTATGAGTTGCAGAAGGCTAAGTTAATGCTGGAGGAGACATTGTCTGTGTTGCCACTTGATGGCTTGGTGGAGGCAGCAGCACATGTCAATCAGTTACACTGCATCTCTGAATTAGAGGGAAGTTGCGAACTTCGAAGCAGCAACAGTGAGCCCTCTCAGTCATTATTAAGTTCATATATCCAAACAGGCAAGTTCGGATGTAACCGAGTACATCAGGATTGCAATCTGTGGCTAAAAGTTATGCGAGTTCGTCAAAACACACTCCCAACTGCACTAGGGACTCTTGAACTTTGTAAGAATTTATCGAGCTTAGCCCGCAAGCAAAGCAATCTTATGTTGGCAAATCGTCTGAACAACTATCTCAAAGTTCATGTCTCAAGTTGTTCTGATGAAAGTTCTCGTGATTATATGATTTCTAGTTTGCATTACGAGAACATTCTTTTCATGCATTCTGAAAACAAGCTTGAAGATGCATTGGTGAATCTTTGGTCATTTGTGCATCCTTATATAGATAATTCTTCGGTGGAAAGGTCCAACTCTCGGGACAGTTTTCTAAAGGCCAAGGCTTGCTTGAAACTGGCAAATTGGTTGCGGGGAGACTGTTCTGGTAAAAAGTTTGAGGATGTTGTTGTTAAGATGCTAACAGACTTCAATTTTACCGATGATTCTACAGTCAAAGAGGCACTTTCCTTTTGTGAAGGTAATCTAAGCTCAGGTGTAAATCTTATAGTTGATGAACTTGTAGGTACTCTAAAAAAGATGTCTGCTCGTCTTTGCCCCATGATGGGGAAGTCATGGATTTCATACGCCTCTTGGTGTTATGCTCAAGCTGTAGCATCCGTCTCCTCAAATCATGAGTCCGCCCAGCATTCTTGCTCCCGTTCTCCCGTTCCTGCTATTGAAATACAGCAAAATAGATTTAGATTAACTGAAGAAGAGCAGTTGCATATTAAGGACATCATTAATAAGCTTGTTCAAGAAGGATCTGACTTGAAAGAGAGAAATGAAGACGCAGGAACTTGTAATCTTTCTGGATATGCTGAAATTAAGAAAGATCTGAAGCCTTTATTGCATCAAATAGTAGATGTTATTGAGTCTACGGCTGGAGCACCTGGAATCCTGGACTGCAGTGGCATTAGCTTGTCTGCTACGCTATCTTCTCAGTTACACAAATGCTTAGTGTCTAATAATGTTTCCCTGGATGAAGCTGGAGTACTATCTATGGTAAATGACTTGGTTGAGGTTTGGCAGTCTTTTAGGAGGAGAAGGGTTTCTCTCTTTGGTCATGCAGCTCAAGCTTTCATTAATTATCTTTCACATTCCTCTCTGAATATTACTGATGGTCAATTAACTGGCTGTGATGTTGACTCCCAGTATAAATCTGCGAGTTACACCCTGAGGGCCACACTCTATGTCCTTCACATTCTGCTCAACTATGGGGTTGAGTTAAAAGATACACTTGAACCAGGTCTTTCTATAGTTCCTTTACTACCCTGGCAGGTGAGATAGCGCTCTAATTTTTATATTGGTTGAAATTAAAAACACTAAATACTAATTTGGTGTTTCTTTTTCTGAAGGAGATAATTCCTCAACTGTTTGCTCGATTGAGTGCTCACCCTGAACAGGTGGTTAGGAAGCAGTTGGAGAATTTGCTAGTCATGCTGGCAAAGCTATTTCCATGGTCTATAGTCTACCCCACCCTTGTCGATGCAAATGCTTATGGAAAGAAATCTTCTGAAGAGATTCTGACAATTCTGGCTTATTTGGTTAGTAGAAGACTCTGTTTCCATGTCTAATTGACGATTACTTAATCTTTTTGTATAATATTTTATTGCTACCTGTAGCATGTTACTTCTTGGTTTAGAAATCTTCTAGTTCTATGTATATACGTATGGACATGAATGGTTTGAAGTTTAGTTCTATTTATTTGATCCCCTGTAGCTTGGTACTTATATTCAAGCGGAAAGTGTGAATGCAGAGGTATACCTTTGAAACTAGAATGCCACCATGATGAGAATTTCTTGTAACTTCTAGGAGAAATAATTGTACACCCGTCTTTTCGTTCTAGTGTCCTTATTCAAGGCCTTGTTTTCCTAAATATTCAAATATTATCTTCTTGGCTTTCATCCGAGTTTTGTTTCGCGGTAACTGTTTGAACTTGTCAACTGTGACTTAACAAATATAATTTTCTGTGCACTAATTATTGTTTGACTATATATAGTTGTATAGCCTTTTAGTATGTAACAATCTAGCACATAAGAGGAAAAACTGTTATGTATATCAGATATCTTAACGGGATAGTCCGACTCCATTTGTGTCTTAAAAGTTATGGTCTCTTTCTCATGGTGGCTTAGCTTGATAAGTTGAACACGTTACAATTTCCTGCCTCTTGCAATTATCTTTTTGGTCATCAGGGTAATTAGGAACTTGTTTACATTCGAAGATTTATGTATGTATGGTTGTTTATAAGGGGTTTGGTACTTGTACTTGCAGATTTTGGTTTATTTTGTCTTCATGCACCAGAGACATGGGCTTAATAACTTTTTAGTATTTTTAAATTCTGAAATGTTTTTAATGAATCTCTAATTTGAATGAACTATATCTTGATCATTAATGAAAAATTTCAACAGTTATGGTGCAGTAGTGACCTATTTAAATTAATGTTTGAAACAACTATAAAACAAAATCAAAGTTCAACGTTTCAAAATAAATATGGCTCAGATATTAAGCCACGTTTTTATCTTTAACTCTCATTTATATTTATATTATGCAATATTAGTTGATATCCACGTGTTTCTAAGCAAAATCTTACATGACACACCTTGATAAAAATGGTTTCGGTTTTTTATTTTTCCCACTTGACTACCTCTAACTTGATTTGGTCTTCTTCCCAAACTTCATGGATTTTGGCTTATATATTTGGTAAAGCATAAGGAAACAAGAGGTGAAATTCTTTACTACGAGAAGTATTGTTGGTAACATTTTTGCATTTCTGCAAGTAATATTATGCTGATTATAGGTACACTACGTTTCTTTTCTGACCCAGAAAATTTGTTGTTGGCAATGTGCTTTTGCTAAAACTTTGTAGTGTAGGTTGTTTACAAATTGATGATGATTCTGAGACTTCATAGAGAGGGGCTCGATTTCTGTTCTGTTGTGTATTTTGTTGGAAAAGAAATTCTAGTGTTCATTTTTTTAGAATCAGTTTATCCCAGTGCATCTAGTATGAGATCCTTTGTCCAATTCCACAAATGGCCTATGCTTGATTCTTTCTAACTCGTAACTCAACAAGAGAAAGAACTAGTAGGATTAGGACCAAGTGATAAGACTTGGTTTCCTATAAAAATTCCCTTTAATAGGATCCTTCGGCTTGTTTTACCCCTCATTCTAGGATTCTGTTGTGTCTGTGGGCATACCTTCTTTTAATTCATCTAGTTAATGTGCAGCCTGCTCGCGACCTTGCTAATTGCACTTATCATATTGTCTATTTAGCTTGCTTAGGATGCAAGTCTGTTGGTTTATGTTGGGATATCTCTCACATGAATTTGAAGTGGGAAAGACTCTTTTGGGATTGTGATTTGTTCCTTGAATTCCAGCCTTTTTTAATTCTTAAGAACATCCAGTCTCCTACTATTGTACTTGTTGAACTATTCGTAGAACGACTTTTATAAATAGATGTTCCTGTCACGGTTAGCTCTACGACTGAGAAACTTTTGTTGCCATAAGTGTGATTTCCATTAAAATTGTACTTAATGCATAAATTTTATCCAGGTTATGACTGATAATTTTTTTCTGCAGAATAAGCTTTATCCAAGGTTAGTACAAGATGCTCAGCTGATTATTAGAGAGCTTGAAAATGTAACTGTACTTTGGGAGGAATTGTGGCTGAGCACACTTCAAGATCTTCATGCAGGTGACCTTTTTTCTCACTGAAATGACTTGATAATAGTTGGATGTGTGCTGAACTGTATGAATTCTATAGTTTATGCACACTTGGTGAGTGCCAACAATAAATTTCGTTTATTTGCCTAATATATTTATGTGTAGTAGTCATCAAGGGCACTATGCTGCAGCATATTGAGTGCACAAGTGATAAAGTGCATACTGGCAAAACTGTTTGAGCCCTAAAAGGAGTAAGGGGACTAAGGTATCAGAAGAAACAGTGACACTGCTTAAGACAGGAACTTACCATACACACTTGGTCATTCACGAATCAACGCTAAGTGACATAATAGATGTCAAAATTCTGAGGGATCATCAGGGATATTTTTCTGATCTTTTTGATCTCTGCTTAGGTCTCTAAAACTACTAAAATCGTAATTTTACTGCATTATATGCTGAAGTTGACCCCATAATGGCTATAATCTTTGAAACTCTACTTGCTGTCACTTGATTTTAAGTAAGATGCTCGAGATAGTATCTCAAGGTTTTGTGGACTTTTGAGAGTGAATTTGATATAGCTGGTTTCACCTTTTGATTTCCATCATTAATATCTCATGTCAGCTCTGATACCATATATGTTTTGATTACAAAATCTGTAACAATATGTTGCATTGCTCTTAAAAATTGAATAATTCTTCTAATATTTGATTGATTAAGGCTTGATTGCATGTTTGGGGTGCTTTTGAAGATTGTTATCGTGGAATGTAGGAGTAATGTAGCACAGATTAAGACTTATATTATATTAATACGAATCTAGATATAGAGATGATTTTGAATAGATTTTGACCATTTCTTAGCCAGGCTACTTTATCTTGTTCTTTCGTCCACTTTCATCCCAGTGTTCAATGCTCTGTTACTAATTTAATTATCTTTTAACCTGTTTTAAAATGTACAATTCATCAGATGTTATGAGGCGCATAAATTTGTTGAAAGAGGAGGCTGCACGAATTGCAGAGAGTACAACTCTTAGTCCCGGAGAGAAAATCAAGATAAATGCTGCAAAATACTCTGCTATGATGGCTCCCATCATTGTAGTCTTAGAGCGTCGTTTAGCTTCTACTTCTCGGAAGCCTGAAACACCTCATGAGATGTGGTTCTTTGAGGAGTACCAGGAACAAATCAAAACTGCTGTCACAAAATTCAAGACTCCTCCTGCATCAGCTGTGATGCTAGGGGATGTGTGGCGACCATTTGAGAATGTTGCTGCTTCCTTGGCATCTCATCAAAGGAAGTCATCAATATCTTTAGGAGAAGTTGCCCCTCATTTGGCTTGGATGTCATCATCCGATGCTCCAATGCCAGGTCTTGAGAAGCAAATTACAATGTCTGAATCAGAAAGAGACTTAAATAGTGCTCCCCAGGAAATTGTGACAATTGCTTCTTTCTCTGAACAAGTAGTGATTTTATCAACCAAGACCAAACCCAAAAAACTTGTTCTAATGGGCTCTGATGGTCAGAAGTATACATATCTCTTGAAAGGACGAGAGGACTTGCGTCTTGATGCCAGGATTATGCAGCTATTGCAAGCTGTAAATGGTTTTCTGCATTCATCATCTGCTACTCGTAGTCGGTCACTCGGCATTCGTCATTACTCTGTGACACCAATTAGCGGACGAGCTGGCCTGATCCGATGGGTGGATAATGTCATTAGCATTTATAGTGTGTTTAAATCATGGCAGAACCGAGTCCAGTTAGCACAGATTTCTGCATTGAGTGCTGATACAAAAAATATGGTTCCTCCACCTGTGCCTCGGCCCAGTGACATGTTTTATGGTAAAATCATTCCTGCGCTCAAAGAGAAAGGCATTAGAAGAGTAATATCGAGAAGGGACTGGCCTCATGATGTCAAGCGAAAAGTACTTTTGGATCTTATGGAGGAAGCTCCTAAGCAACTTCTTCATCAGGAGCTTTGGTGCGCAAGTGAAGGTTTCAAAGCCTTCAGCTCAAAATTGAAAAGGTTCTTTAATATTAGCTTAAAAGGCTGCCTCATGTTGTCGTGGTTATTATGCTTAACATACAAATATATTGGCATGCATGCGATATTCACTATCTGATTTCAACTATTGCATTATATATTCATAAGTTCTGGATATATTACCAAGTGCATCTCTTTTTCTATATTCTATTTTAATATTTTTTTTTCACAGGCATCCTCGAGTGTTATTATCTTAGTGTGTCTTTTAAAAGGAATATCAGTGACAATCCTAAATTTTCACCAGAACAACTATTGCCACCAAAGAATGATTGCTAACTACCGCTAAAAATTGTACTTGTTGCATATTTTTAAAAAATAGTTTATGGTAATTGATAATCAATTATATTGGTATTTCTCAAGTTGAGCTGTGTTTAGCAGACGAGTTTTCATTTTATTGCAAGGTGTCTACTGTTTATTGAAATATGAATCCTTTAATATTGATTTATGCATATAAATTGGTTTTCTTGCAGGTATTCTGGAAGTCTGGCAGCCATGAGTATTGTTGGTCATATTCTGGGTCTAGGTGATAGACATTTGGATAATATCCTCATAGATTTTTGTAGTGGGGATATTGTGCATATTGATTACAATGTGTGCTTTGACAAAGGACATAGGTTAAAGATTCCTGAAATTGTACCCTTCCGCCTTACCCAGACAATTGAAGCTGCATTAGGGTTGACTGGTGTGGAAGGTACCTTTAGGGCAAATTGTGAAGCTGTTTTAGGTGTTCTGAAGAAGAATAAGGATATTGTCTTGATGTTGCTAGAGGTTTTTGTTTGGGACCCACTTGTGGAATGGACACGTGCGAACTTTCATGATGATGCGGCTATTGTTGGTGAAGAAAGAAAGGGCATGGAGCTTGCTGTTAGCTTAAGTCTATTTGCATCTCGTGTCCAAGAAATTCGTGTTCCGTTGCAGGTACTGATGAATAACTTAACAGTATTATTGGCTTATTCAAATTCATTTGATTTTTTGTAATTTTCAATAGTTGAAGGGCATCTGTCCTTTGTGTGATATCAAGAGTTCTATACGAAGAACCCTTTTTGTTTATTTTAGGTTAAACTCTGTCTCCAAGTCCACGTGACGTTCTGAAATTTTCAGCCATGGTCTTTGTTTAGATGGAATTTTTATTTAGTCTTTGTGCTTTATAATGTATTCTTTAAATAGTTCTGATAAACCTTTTTATTGCAATTTTTATTTGGTTTATCATTTTTAAATTTCACTAAGTCCTCTTTTGACTGATAATAATAGTTAAGTAATATCATCCTTTACATTCCTTTTCTTTGAGAGTGAATCACGAGCACAGATTTGGTTATGACTTTAGAGTTGATTCATTCTTGTTTTAAATCACCAGGAACATCATGATCTCTTACTGGCTACCTTACCAGCTGTTGAGTCAACCCTTGAGGTGTGTATAGCTTATTGTCAAATTGGCCTGCCTCAAGTTTTTTAAGTAGTTGGAACTTATTAACCCTTTAAAAATGATGTGCAGAGGTTTGCTGACATTCTGAATCAATATGAGGTTGTCTCCAGTCTATTTTATCACGCAGACCAAGAGAGATCTAACCTCCTTTTGCATAAGACATCTGCGAATTCAATTGTTGCCGAAGCAACTTGTAATTCAGAGAAAAGTCGTGCCTTGTTTGAACTGCAGGCTCGAGAATTCAGTCAAGCACAGGCTATGATAGTGGAGAAAGGGCAAGAAGCTTCAACTTGGATTGAGCAGCAAGGAAGGATTTTAGATGCTTTAAGTAGTAGTTCAATTCCTGAAATTAAAGCATGTATAAAGCTGACTGGTTCAGAAGAAGCTCTGTCACTCACGTTTGCAGTTCTAGTGGCTGGGGTTCCATTGACTGTTGTTCCTGAACCGACACAAGTTCAGTGCCACGACATTGATAGGGAAGTTTCTCATTTAGTAGCTGAGCTGGATTCTGGGCTTTCTTCTGCGGTTGCAGCACTCCAATTGTATTCATTGGCTCTGCAGAGGATCCTTCCATTAAATTACATTATAACCAGTCCAGTACATGGTTGGGCACAGATTTTACTTTCTCTGAATGCACTCTCATCAGATGTTATATCAGTTGCTCGGAGGCAGGGAGCTGAGCTCATCATGACTGGACACGGGGATGGATATAGTTCTATTAAGAGCAGTTATGATGATCTTTGTCTTAAGGTAGCAAAGTATGCAGAAGATATAGAGAGATTGGAAGAAGAGTGTGCTGAACTTGTGAACTCAATTGGTACAGATACTGAACTGAAATCCAAGGAACGTCTTCTATCTGCTTTCATGGACTATGCGCAGCACGCTAGTCTCAATAGGAGAGACAATGGCTTGGGTTTGGGACCAGTGACACGTGGAGAACCATCAGAATCTGCCTTGCATGGGGAGAATGAAGAAAAGAAGGAAAGGGTTCTAATTGTATTAGATACAGCCACGAGCAATCTGTTCTATGATGTTAAGCACCTAGTGAATAAAGGCCTGAATCACTTTCCAGGGGAAAGAAATACGGATAAATGGCCTTTATCTGATCTTGGATCCTTTTTCAATGAGCTTGAAGAACATATAGAAAAATGCGTCCTTGTCACTGAGTTTCTCAATGAGCTAAAGCAGAGTGTTGGACAGGATAACTGTGTTGTTGAGGCAGATGCACATAGTTTAAATTATGCATCCCAACTGAACTGGGCTTCTTTTTTTAAAACCACTCTTATTTACTGTAAAAACCTTGTTTGGCAAATGATTGAAGTCGTTCTACCTAGTTTGATAAAATCTATAATTTCATTTAATTCAGAAGTTATGGATGTTTTTGGATCAGTGTCCCGAATTCGGGGATCGATAGATACAGCACTGGAGCAGCTTATTGAGGTTGAACTAGAGAGGGCTTCTCTGATTGAACTTGAGCAGAACTACTTTGTGAAAGTTGGTCTTATCACCGAGCAACAGTTGGCTCTTGAAGAAGCTGCTGTCAAGGGCAGAGACCATTTATCTTGGGAAGAGGCCGAGGAACTAGCCTCTCAAGAAGAAGCTTGCAGAGAGCAGCTGGATAAACTTAATCAGATGTGGAGCCAAAAAGACCTGCAAACTTCATCTCTTTTAAAGAAAGAAACAAGTATTAATAGCACTTTGGCCTCTTCTGAACTACAATTGCAATCTCTAATTGCTGCAGAGCCAGAAAGTGAGCCTCATATTTTTAGAAGCAAAGCACTCTTGGCAGCACTAGTTCAACCGTTTACTGAGTTGGAATCTGTTGATCCAGCACTGACTTCATTTTCTGGACCTGTTTCATGCAGCTCAAGTGGAATTTCTCACCTTGCAGACTTGATGAGTTCAGGATGCCCAATATCTGAGTATATATGGAAGTTTCCAGGCATACTATGCAGTCATGCCTTTTTTATTTGGAAAGTCTCTATTGTTGATCTATTGCTTGATTCCTGCACACATGACGTTGATGCATCTTTTGATCAAAATTTAGGATTTGACCAACTGGTGAATGTAGTGAAGACAAAGGTTAAAATTCAACTTCAGGAGTATATTGAACAATACTTGAAATCTCGTGTTGCTCCAATTCTGTTGACTAGGTTAGACAGAGAAATAGAGATTCTGAGGGAAAAAGCAGAGGCAACAAAGGATGTAGACTTTGCTCCATTGAAAACGGATTTTGGCGCTGTTAAAGAAGTGCAACTTATGCTTGAAGAGTACTGCAATGCACATGAAACTGTCAGGGCAGCAAAATCAGCAGCTTCCGTCATGAAGAGGCAGGTGAATGAACTTAAGGAAGCTCTTCTCAAGACCAGCTTGGAAATTGTTCAGATGGAATGGATGCACGATATCGCATTGAGCTCCTCACAAAATTCTAAGTTGATCTCTCTTAAAATTCTTGCAGATGATGACCTGCTTAAAGTTATTTTAAACATTAGCAGACCAAAATTGCTAGAGAATATACAATCTTCAATTGCAAAAATATCTAAATCATTGGAATGCTTGCAATCTTGTGAGCAAACTTCTATCACAGCAGAAGGGCAGCTTGAGAGAGCGATGAGCTGGGCTTGTGGTGGTCCTAATTCCATGTCAAATATCTCTGCCAGAAATTCAGGAATACCACATGAATTTCATGATCATTTGGCAAGGCGGCGACAATTGTTGCAGGAAGCTCAAGAAAATGTATCGGACATAATGAAAGTTTGCTCCTCCATATTGGAGTTTGAAGCTTCTCGAGATGGTACTTTTAGGACCTCGGGAGAAGTTTATCCATTAAGGACTAGTGCAGATGCTGGGATGTGGCAGCAAGCTTACTTGAATGCAATAACAAAATTGGATGTTACTTATCACTCCTTTACACGTTAGTTTCAAATCTTTTGGTGAAAATAGATGTTATTTTTATTACAGGGTTACATAATTCTTTGATATCATATACTTTTCCATGCTATGCATCAGGTGCTGAGCAAGAATGGAAGCTTGCACAAAGCAACATGGAAGCCGCCTCTAGTGGTTTAGTTTCTGCAACAAATGAACTTCGCATGGCTTCTGATAAAGCAAAGTCCGCATCAGGTGAAAATCTTCTTTCATTTTAAGATGGAAGTGAAAGCAAACCCATAGCAAGTACCTGTTCTTAAATTATCCAAATGGTGTTTTAACAAATTTTTTACAGTATTTGTTTACATTGATCAGAAATGTGCCCACTGTTTTAGCCCCTGTTTGACAACCATTATTTCAAAACTCATTTTTTCTCATACTCATTTTCAACTACACATTCTCACTATAAAATATTCTTCACGTAAATCCAAAATTTTTTCTTACTTTTTAACTATGCATTCCCCAAAAATTTACAATTCAAAAATTCATTCTATACAAAAAATGGCTGTCCAACAGGAGCATAATTGTTAGATTTTTTGGCATACTGATAGACTTCCACCTCCAATACAAAGTTTGTTATTCATTTATTATTCCAGAGCATTCCATGGTTAGTTAGCGAAAGGGTAAAAATGTAATGAAAAACTAGTGGAATTCTCTATAAATGTAAGGGGGAAATTTAGATGATCATTCAGGGAAAATCTGAGAAAATTGGGAGAGACCAGGCCTCTCGAAAGCCTTGAAAATTGTTACTTTCATTCTGTTGAATTCCAATACATCATTCAAGATCAGCATTCTAGTAGCAACAACACGTGAAGTCCTTCAGTTGAAACACAGCATCAGAGGAACCTATCAAATTGGTATCAGAGCACTCGATTCTCGGGGAGTATCAACGATGGTGATGCAACAGAAAGGAGATCGAGCTGTTGATTTAGGGTTGGATTCATGTGGCCGATTCAACACACCGATATTCTATGGGGACAATTTAGATTTATGGTTGTTTGAGGCGGAGCGATGCCTAAGCATGACTCGCGGCTTACTGGATAGGGCAAAGGTAGAAGCCGCAGGTGCTTGCTTCCTTGGAGAGGCTTGGGCATGGTTTCAAGGTATAGACGATCGCTTCTCGATTCGAACTTGGGAAGATTTGAAGATGTTGATGATGGCTCGATTCCACAGGAAGCAGATCTCCATTGCCAGTGAATTTATAGATGGGAAGGATGAGAAGGGGATAATAGAAAATTCATCGGAACTCACCATCATCTCGAAAATTCCCCTAAAATAGGAGGAATCTGGAGTAAGTTCCCTTAATACGTACCGCCGGGAGGAGCCGGACAGGAAGGAAAAGGAGGTCACAGTCACTTCGTCGGAGCCCACCATTAATTTTGAAATCATACCAAAAATTGAAGAAATCGACCATTGGGAGAGAGGATACAATTCAAAAATTCATTCTATACAAAAAATGGCTGTCCAACAGGAGCATAATTGTTAGATTTTTTGGCATACTGATAGACTTACACCTCCAATACAAAGTTTGTTATTCATTTATTATTTCAGAGCATTCCATGGTTAGTTAGCGAAAGGGTAAAAATGTAATGAAAAACTAGTGGAATTCTCTATAAATGTAAGGGGGAAATTTAGATGATCATTCAGGGAAAATCTGAGAAAATTGGGAGAGACCAGGCCTCTCGAAAGCCTTGAAAATTGTTACATTCATTCTGTTGAATTCCAATACATCATTCAAGATCAGCATTCTAGTAGCAACAACACGTGAAGTCCTTCAGTTGAAACACAGCATCAGAGGAACCTATCAAATTGGTATCAGAGCACTCGATTCTCGGGGAGTATCAACGATGGTGATGCAACAGAAAGGAGATCGAGCCGTTGATTTAGGGTTGGATTCATGTGGCCGATTCAACACACCGATATTCTATGGGGACAATTTAGATTTATGGTTGTTTGAGGCGGAGTGATGCCTAAGCATGACTCGCGGCTTACTGGATAGGGCAAAGGTAGAAGCCGCAGGTGCTTGCTTCCTTGGAGAGGCTTGGGCATGGTTTCAAGGTATAGACGATCGCTTCTCGATTCGAACTTGAGAAGATTTGAAGATGTTGATGATGGCTCGATTCCACAGGAAGCAGATCTCCATTGCCAGTGAATTTATAGATGGGAAGGATGACAAGGGGATAATAGAAAATTCATCGGAACTCACCATCATCTCGAAAATTCCCCTAAAATAGGAGGAATCTGGAGTAAGTTCCCTTAATACGTACCGCCGGGAGGAGCCGGACAGGAAGGAAAAGGAGGTCACAGTCACTTCGTCGGAGCCCACCATTAATTTTGAAATCATACCAAAAATTGAAGAAATCGACCATTGGGAGAGAGGATAAAGAAGGGAAGTCATTTTGGCCAAAACCGATTCCTTCTTATTCAATCCCGATGCTTGTTTTCCAACAGCTGGATACTCATCCATACCTACCCTACACTTGTGGCAACATAACAACTTCTTGGGACCTATTTCATACCCACTTCCCACTAGCCTAATCAATTTCTCCAACGTGTATAGGAGGTGACTTTAATGTGGTTCGATTTCCTATTGAGAGGTCGAATGGTGGGAGACTCATGGGGGCTAAAGGGGGAAATTTAGATGATCATTCAGGGAAAATCTGAGAAAATTGGGAGAGACCAGGCCTCTCGAAAGCCTTGAAAATTGTTACATTCATTCTGTTGAATTCCAATACATCATTCAAGATCAGCATTCCAGTAGCAACAACACGTGAAGTCCTTCAGTTGAAACACAGCATCAGAGGAACCTATCAAATTGGTATCAGAGCACTCGATTCTCAGGGAGTATCAACGATGGTGATGCAACAGAAAGGAGATCGAGCCGTTGATTTAGGGTTGGATTCATGTGGCCGATTCAACACACCGATATTCTATGGGGACAATTTAGATTTATGGTTGTTTGAGGCGGAGTGATGCCTAAGCATGACTCGCGGCTTACTGGATAGGGCAAAGGTAGAAGCCGCAGGTGCTTGCTTCCTTGGAGAGGCTTGGGCATGGTTTCAAGGTATAGACGATCGCTTCTCGATTCGAACTTGAGAAGATTTGAAGATGTTGATGATGGCTCGATTCCACAGGAAGCAGATCTCCATTGCCAGTGAATTTATAGATGGGAAGGATGACAAGGGGATAATAGAAAATTCATCGGAACTCACCATCATCTCGAAAATTCCCCTAAAATAGGAGGAATCTGGAGTAAGTTCCCTTAATACGTACCGCCGGGAGGAGCCGGACAGGAAGGAAAAGGAGGTCACAGTCACTTCGTCGGAGCCCACCATTAATTTTGAAATCATACCAAAAATTGAAGAAATCGACCATTGGGAGAGAGGATAAAGAAGGGAAGTCATTTTGGCCAAAACCGATTCCTTCTTATTCAATCCCGATGCTTGTTTTCCAACAGCTGGATACTCATCCATACCTACCCTACACTTGTGGCAACATAACTTCTTGGGACCTATTTCATACCCACTTCCCACTAGCCTAATCAATTTCTCCAACGTGTATAGGAGGTGACTTTAATGTGGTTCGATTTCCTATTGAGAGGTCGAATGGTGGGAGACTCATGGGGGCTAAGGAGGATTTTTCAGACTTTATAAGGGAGAATATGTTGGTGGATTTGCCTATGATTGGAGGAGATTTTACCTGGTCATCCAATCGGGATCAACCTGTTCTTTCTCGTATTGACAGATTCTTGATATGCGGAGAGTGGGAGGCTAAGTATTCAGATGTCATTCAGAGAAGATTGG